GCACTTTAATGTAACAGAGTAAGGAGCAGGTTCTTTATTGAGTCACTCTTTTAATGAATATGTTCAAAACAAAATGAAAAAAGCCCATCCTGATGTTCTTAAAGGTTTGAGCTGAACGACTCAGATGCATTCATATGGTCTACATTTTTGTCATGCTCTCCAGGATCTCTGGGATGTTGTTTCTTGTTGTTTTGCTGTTTCTCGCCAGGGCGGAGTCAGGCTCCGGTCCCCACCTCTGTCCTTGTCTGTACAGCTCTACTCAACTCCCTCTCATCACGGATGGTAACTCCTGCACCACTCAAGGCCCCAGTGGGGTTTGCTTCTTTGTTGGATCGTTGTGCTAACCTGTGTCAGTGTAGCCCTGGTTCACCGAGTGATCTCGTATCTCCTAGTGCTCCTCTCTAACGTATATCTCCTCTCCTTGTACAGACTTCCCCGGACCTTCGCCTGTTACCCCGCCCTGTGGGCCTCGTGTGGATGTGGGTGAGGTCTTTGTGGACTGGACTTGATGTGACTGAGCTGCTTATGTGAGCAGAGTACTTACTGGCTGACAGTGTGTGTGAGGAAAGATGTATGATACAAGCACCACCTAACAGTTATTATTACACATTTCTGGATGTTCAGTTTGAAAAGGGTGAAAAAGTGTTCTGAGCAAATTTTCCATCATCAACTTAGCTGAAGTACTGAAACCCAAACTATGCTGTTAAACATTTAATTTTAAAGATATCTTTACACAAACCAATTCAAAACTTTTATATTGATTGATGTATTCATGGTAGACTGTCCTGTCCACCAGGGAGCGCTGCTGTACCACCTCCCACGTCCTTAGCACACGCACACATTTATACAGATAGCATGGATCCGTTAGCAGATCCACAGAGCCCAGGGAGTCCTCAGCCTCCATCAGGTCCTGCTGTAGTTCTCCAGCTGAGAGAGCGCAGACACGGACATGTTAGAGGTGAGAGTGTGAGATGAGACTCCGTCCATCTACAGATGTACTCATCAGTTTATGAACCCTGATAGAATTTGTGATTTTTCTGCCTGGTCGTTGTGTCCTTGGGCAAGACACTTCACCTGCCGCCCACTGGTGTTGGTCAGAGGGGCCGATGGCGCGATATGGAGCCTCGCTTCAGTCAGTCTGCCCCAGGGCAGCTGTGGCTACAACTGTAACTGCCTCCACCAG